TCCAGTTCTTCATGCATTTCATTAATGTACCCTGGCTGCATAAAAGAAATAGTTTGATCCATTTCCATCATCATTTCATACAGATGTTTCATTCCAATGGTTCATTTTATATGAAAATCACCAGACCGAAATTATTCTAAAACCCTTGAATTTTTGTAGTTAACAGAATTTTCTAAATGTTTGGTTTATATTTCGTGCAGCATTATTATCAAGTTTGTTCTCAAACTCAGTATAAAACCCTTTGAGGCCAAAGCCTAATGTACCCATCTCAGTGTACTTGACCATTGAGCCCAGAGGTGCATGAGCAGATGTCTAGATCAGGTTCTCTGTCTGAAGTAAGATAACAGTGCTTAAGTCCACAAGCAAACTTGATACTCCTTTATCGACCTGCAGCAATAGTTGAAAGGCTGAGTCGCCCTTGCCCAGCCCGAGAATAGAACCTCGAACCTGTGGTGTAGAAGCGTGATAATCTACCACTCGACATCAGGGCCTTTCATAAAAAGTTTATACTTATATATAAAAAAATACACTGTTGGCCACGGTAAATGCAACACCCTGAAGGAAGCATGCAAAAATTATGAAATTTACAACATGCATTAGCGGAGGTGAGATATGCAAATGATTAGAATTTCAACGCAGACTCACATCACGCGCGCCTGTGGCGCCACCTCAAAGCGCTAATTAAGGCTTGCAGATTTAGATGATTTCAAGTTCGGCAGTTGTGTTTTTTTCAAAAAACGATCAGTTATGTCTCGTAGAAAACAGCGATCAGCTTTTGATCAAGTATCCGAGTTCGATAGAGGAAGGATAGTGCCTATCGAGATTGTGGATTATCTTTCAGGGAAATCGGTAGTCGTGTTGGACGAAACCAAACAACTGTAATGCGGGATATGTGACCGTTAGATGCAGTGGAGGGTGACACCGATGGGTCGATCTCATTCACCTCAGTGTAATCACTTACGTGAGGCCAGGCAAATTGTGCATGGCAGTGATGGATCACCAGTCACATCACGATCCATAGCACAGCACATTATGTCTGTAATGCATCAGCCCGCGTCTGCGGCAGTACCATTCCACGCCTTTTACAGCAGAGTGATCTGTCCGCAAGACGTGTGTCCATTGCTTGGTCTACCCTGGCTGAAGAACCACAGCCGTCTCCGCCACCAATGAAGATGAAAGAAGGATGTGGGCGTCAGAATGGAAATGAAATTCGTCTTTACCGGGACGAGTCACGCTTCTGTCTGCAACAATCACGATGGTCGGATTCGAGTCTGAGGATACCATGGAGAGAGGATGCTGAACAGTTGCGTTATGCACCGACACACTGGTCCTGCATCGGGTATTATGGTATGGGGCGGTATTGATATCGACTTCCTTCAGTACGTACGGTTCGCCCGTGTTCTAAACAGCCAGCGCTACATCTCCGAGGTGCTGGAGCCAAAGCTGTCCCCCCTTACCTTCAGGGCTTGGCCACAGCCATATTTCAATAGATAATGCGCGCGACCACACGTGGCAACGCATTGTCCAAAGGTTCTTCGTCAATCACCAGACTACCCCGCTCCCCTGGCTGGCTCGCTCTCCGTATGTGGTAAATGGTTGCTCAACGATTGAACCGGAGATTACACCCCAACTGCTGACACCCAGGATCAATTCCTGGCAACGTGTAGAATCGCTTCTTGGTTTGTTGTACCCCAAGAACACATCCAAAGTCTCGCTTGAATGAATGCCGAGGCGTGTGGCGATCTCCCAACAATCGCGGCTACCTGGCTACCGCCATGATTCTATGGTGGGAAACCGCACACCTCTACAGGAAGTCTTATAAATCTTAACTCATTGATACTATAGGTCAACATGTTATTTACAAAATAAATTTTGTTGTACTATCTCTTGTCTTTCTTGGTGTTGCATTTACTGTGGCCAGCAGTGTACATAAATATCGGTTGAATTCATATCCTTACGAAACTCGAAACAAGTATCAAAATGGAATACTTTCGAAAAATCATCTTTGTTAAATGACTCTGGCAATGAACAATGCGACGATAAACGAAATATGCCATGACAAAAAGAAATGTATAACGCAAGGGTAGCCAAGTTGTGGCCCGCGAGAATCATTATAACTTTACAAAATACGATTATTTTGTGCAATATTTTTGTTTTTAGTGTAGTGGTTTTCTAACAAATAAATCCCATAACTGTTTCTATTTTATTACGTTGATTCCGTTCTTTAGATGATTAGAAGTGGGTAGTATTGCACCAGACCCCCGCAGCATCATGCTTCATTCCTCTTGTAACTTTTTTTTCAATTTACACCTGCGAATAATTGTTTTTTGAAAATTAAAGATAAATCATGCTTACAACTAACGGACGAAAACCTGAAACATCAAATACGATGAGAAAGTACACGTACTAAGATCGGCTTGCAAAAACCGAGTGAAAGAGTTGAGAAACAAATATCTCACTAATTAAATAAATTGAACATTTTTTGATCATTCTGTTATTATTAATATATTATCTATGTTTGTATACATGAAAAAAAACTGAAAACAGTAGTAATAATTCATTCTGTTTTAAATTTTCACTCCTATAAATGTTTGAAATGAGTCCAAATCTAATATAAAGACATATATTTCAATATGCTGCCTATGGGATTATACAGTTTCGCTGAAGTGGCCCGTAGACATAGACATTTGTAGGACGTACTGGCCGGTATACTGGGATACCGAACACCGGTATGTTGAGCCCTTTGTACAATTTTGTAATACCGGTATTCACAAGTTTAAATACCGTTTTTTCGCGGTATTTACAAGAAATTTTTTAAATAGGCTCCACTATTTGTTCTGGCATCGGCAACATAGCAAAATCGTTTGTTTTTATGTCTCCCTAACGGGCGAAATTAATTGTGTATAGTGAATAATATAAAGTTGCATCTTACAATCAAGAGAAGGGATGAAATATGTGAATCTTCCAAGGAGGCGGTCCAAAACTATCCTATTACAGCTCAGAGAGATACTGCGCACTTGCAGGGGATTCGTAGTCTGATATTATATTTGTGGAAACACGGTTGTAGTTGTGAAGAAAGTGCGTAATATTTTGATATTTTTTTAATTGGTGAGTTTGTTATTTACATTATATTTGCATATTGTATTGCTTTGGGGCTCAAAATATTTTTCAGATTTATTATATATATACTCATAAATAATGACCCATAGTAATGAATAACAATATAACTCTCTAAAGAACATAAAAAATAACTTGCTAATACTTAGGTTTGGTTTCATTATTTATGTAATGAAAAGAATATGGTGGCACAATGTAAAAAATGTTAAGTGAAAGTTAAATTAAAGTGAAATTAATTCTTTATATGATGTTATAATTTATAAGTTAACATGTGGCACGACATCCCATTAGGGACAAGATCAACTGTTCCCAAATCAGTATACGCGACCTTGAGCTCTGAGGTGCATGAGCAGATGTCCTGGTCAGGTGGTCAGTATGACGCGAAATCCCCAGTGTTTTCCCAAACAAGCTTGGTACTCATTTTATCGACCAATTGAAGTTATGAAAGGCTGAATCCGCCTTGCCCAGCCCGGAGTTTGAACCTCGGACCTGTGGTGTGGAAGCGCGATGCACTAACCTCTCAGCCACTGGGCTTCATAATTTATAAGTTACAAATTATTTTTTGTTATATTTACACTCTCTAATAAAACTGGGAAATAAAACAAAGCAAGAAATACCCATGCTTCTTTTTTCTAAAATTTCTACTACCGGTATTGGGGTAAAACCCCGTATCCCGGGATGATAAGATCTAAAAATACCGAATGCCGGTATTGAACTCTTGTCTGATACTTCAAAATCCCTAGTCATTTGGCTTGGCCAATATCCTTGGTATAACGAAAACTAGAGATGTTGCTCTACATGCAAGAAACGTGAAATTTTGTGAAGTACATCGTATTTCTTCTTATATCAAATGTTTTACGGTTTCTAAAATAATAATTTTAATGTAACTTTTCCATAGAAACATAATGGAATATTAAGTACATAAACTATATATATATATATTCTATATTTTTGTATGAATTTATATCATGGAATTAAAAAAAATACTGTGTTTCTAATTTTCCTTGTTTAAGATTAATTCTACGCTGCCAAAATATATTGCAGCAAACGACTAAGACTGATTTAGGAAGCATTATATGTTTAGTAATATAATTTTTCATGAGATTTAGATTTAAAATAAAATAACAATCGATAAATTTACTAGTAAAATACTTTACTGATGTTAGGTTCATGCGATTTCTCTGCATATTCACAGCTTCAGTGTTATTTCTTGAAATGGTATAGACATTGCTGATACAAAAGTCATCCCATATTAAACAAATTTCAATGATCTTAGTTTTCTATAGACTAGACGTAATTTCGAAGAGATTAAAATTAAATATTAAAAGGTCATATGTACATGGTGAATAGCTTGTTAACAATTAAATTTGCTAAATTTATTTCTTTAAAAATATAACTGTAACTGAATAAGGAAAAAATGTTTCCTGTATGAATGAATATTAAATATTTTTAGTTTTACATTAAACGTTTTGTGTAAAAAAAGATAAGAATTTAAAAATATATTTCATCTCTACAACATGCAGCAGTATGTACGAATATCAAATGTTTTTAGTTTATATTAAATGTTTTGTATTAAACAAGTAAAATAAAAAAACATATTTTAAGTCAATTCCTACTCTAGGTCAACAGTGCAAATTTTTATTTTGGTTACTTTTTTAAATTGTTGCAATTAATATAAATATGTATATACATATGATGAATAACAACATTGTTATCAAAATAGAAAAGTGATTTTCCCCTTGCAATTTTCCATTTTCCTTTCTATATTGGGTGTTGGACTATTTTTTTGTTTTTGTTTATATTACTGTTTATTCATTTATTAAATTTAATTATTCTAATAAAATTATATAGTAAAAAATAAATCACATTTTAAGAAATTAGGCCATTCCAGGTGGGATTCGAACCTTTGAATTTGAAGTCCAACACGCTATCCATTGCGCTACAGGGACACAACGAGCGATTTTTCTTTCTATATATGCTGTTGGACTATTATTTTTGTTTGTTAATATTTATTCACTTTTTGCTTTAGTTAATGAATTATATTATTTGTAAAAAAACTATATTAAAATCAATTGTATTCCACTACAAGTTTAAAAAATGATATTTGAACTTGAAAAGATGAATAGAAAGTATTTTATTAAGGACTGAAAATTTGATCAATATATATACATATATATACATAGTCGAAATTCTCTAGATGAATATTCTACACAAGCAAAACCGAAAAAAAATCGAATTCTCAAGACAACCTGATATAGAAGGATAAATGAGAAATTAAAAATATAATAGGGTTTAAAATATAAAAAATGGATGCTGCAGTATTACAAACATTGCTGACGTAGGATATCTTATATATAAAATAATTTACATAAAAGGGCGGTTGAACATGTTTTGTTGTCACCTGAGCAAAAACCTATTGGAAATAATGGATAGAATATCTATAAATCCATTACAAGATAAAGGTAACTTACTTAAAAATTGCATTCAAAAATGCAGAGCCCGCGTTAAATCTGAGTAGAATAAACAAGTTATTGCCAGATTCTGGACCCAAATGCGAATTCAAAGCATAGGAATGGCTGAATTGGAGCACATAGCAAAATTATGAATATATATGTCAGGTTTGAAAAGTTTAGCTTCAAAATTAAGTAAGTAATAAATAAAAAATAGAGCGAACTCTTTACCATCGCGTAAGGATTTGTGGGTAAATAAGCCTATTTAAAGGTGGAGTGAGCGCTGACAAAGGAAGAACGCATACCGAAAAGGCTTAGCTGGTGACCTCTGGTCAAATTGGTTGTTAATGTTCTATTTCCGGTTGCGCGCCAAAGGCCGCCATGATGGATTTTTATATATGTGATCGTGCTGAAATAAAGAAGCATGCAGAGATGACGCCTTCCTCATTTACCAGCAGGCCTGGGGCCCGTCATATATATATATGGAGAGAGTAACTAATAGTAGGAATTGAAAAGATAGGTTCAAAATATATATATTTCCCATCTCACAACATACAGCAATAAACGAAATTCTGCAGGTAATTTGAGCATTTGTTATGCAAATATATTATATTTTACCACTGGCGTAGCTAGCTCTAAGGGGGCTTTTTAGATGAGAGCCCTATTACGGGACTGTAGTTACACCCTGTTTGCGCCCCTGTAGTTTGGAGGGCCCTATATCATTGATACGGCTGATACGGTAGTAGCTACGTCCCTGTATTTAACATTAAAATGTTTGAATTTATTTTTAATTGCTTATTATGCTTTGTCAATAAATATTTTAAAGATTAAAATATATTTTTAAAAAAGACTTTTTCTACTCTGTATTCAAAACTCTTCTATCCTCTTTTAAAAGTCAAAATAATGTAGTCTTACCTTCAGGTAAATGTTTGTGCCAATAAATAATAAGGAAAAAAAATAGAATGAAAAAGTCTCCCAAACCCACAAAATGAATATGCTCCAAATCGAAAATGCGAAAATGCATTAAAATACACTAACCCGTTTTAGATATTTTTTTTTCTTTTTGATTGAAGCACTACGTTTCACAGCGCTCTCTGAGCTCAATTAATGTGTTTTTCAAAAATTGAAAGGCTCTGAATGGAAAGCAAAGATCCCTTATTTACTTTACGTGGAGATATTTCTTTCATCTTTTTTTTGATCTTGTTGAGATTCACTTTAAGCAAATCCCATGCGAGACAATCTCTAAAAGCTTTTCACAAATTTGATCTGAATATAATTTTTCGGAGTAGTGGTGTGTGACATCAATGGAATGTCACTAAAACTTGTTTAGAACATAGTGGGAGGGGGCGTTGTTTAAGAACTTATCTTTAGTGAGCTAGATGGAAATTTTGTTGTTTACCTTGCGTAGGATGAATCTATTATGAAAAAGAGAGTTGATAGTAATAAAAAAGGTAGATTGATGGAAAAATATGACGGAAAAGAGTACAAAGGATATCATAGTGTTAATAATGGTGTATTATTAGAAGGTAGACACCAGCTTAAAACTCCATTTTCTTTTTAAAATAAAAGATTTTCTGAGTTTTTCGATTCCTTCTTTAAAAAATTTATGGAAGATGCATGATTTTATTGCTTTCATTAAATAAAGCATAAAAAACAAATATATATAAAAATATAAGTTGCTTATTATTTTATCATTTTATATTAGGAGGCAATTCTCTCACTAGATGCTTTAGCAACTGTCTGAAAAATTTAAAGTATTAAAATAATGGCTAGAAAAGGGACACTTATGCAAAAATTTACCCCCCCTTTAAAATTGAACTCATAATTAATACAGATACAGACATAATTAATACAGACAAAATTAACTTATCCAGTGAACTATCAAACATTAATGAAATTCAACTTAATTTTTCACCTATATATTGTAACGGGTCTATTCGCGTTCTTCCTACTAATAATCCTCTTGGGGAATATTGGGACTTTAAATATTAGTCTATTGAAAACCTTTCTCCAAAGAAGACGTGATTATTCAAATAAAGGCTTGGATTTAAGGAATAACTTTCAAACTCGGGATAGAGGGAGATTAGAAGCTAACAGGATAGCTAGTAGTGATTAACGTAAAGCGAGGCGAGATCGCTTCGTAGATTATTTGATTAAAATTAAGATAGATGATTTGGTCAATTGGTGGTTAAATTGGATTCGGTCGGTGGTTTGAATTAGACTATTTTAGAAATTATCTTAAAATATAAGAGGGTGTTATGGACGTGCTATGTATAAGTGATCCGATTTATTATTATATCTCCAATGATCTCGTCTACCTCGCTGTTGCTCCCACATTTATCAATTGGTACATTTCTTTACTTGGCTGGTTGAATTTGTGTCATTGTTGAGAATTGTTAAAAAGTCGTGTTTGTTTTGATTATGGCTAATCTTCCTTCTGACCTTCTCACACTAATGGATGGGATAGGCCATCCATTATAATACAACTGATATTTATGTACATAGCTCGGACTAAGATTTTTGAAATATATAATTTAGAAGTGAATTTATTCATATTTTATATAATATATGAGAGCAGAAAAATTTTAACCAAAAAATTTGGTTATTGTTTCAATTGATAGCAACTCTGAAAATAATGTGAATTTTTAAAAAATCCTAGTTATGCTTAGTGTAGAAATCTTAACTATTTATAAACAAAATTTTGTTATTATCGAAGCATTTTTGGTAAAAGGATAATGTTTTGAAAGTTTAACACTTTTTCCCTTTTTAGCCAAATAATTGCATTTAAATAAAAGTTTATTGTAATAAAATTCGTTAAGAAATTTTACATGTATATTTAAATTCAGGTGAAGCTAAAAGCAAAATAAATGAATAAATAAAATCTGAACGTAGCCGCATACCTTAATGAATTAAAAAATTAATAATAATTTATATGGATAAAAAAATAGGAAGTGTTGTACTACCTTAGAATTTTAATTAAATGGGTCATCTTTTGAAATAACTCGCCTTGGGTAATATTTAATATATATATTAGTAGGTTCTCTATAATTTTTTCGTTATATTTTATTAGTATAGTGATTTTATTTGTATAATATTTAAATTTCTCCTATATTATTCTTTCCTTTCCTCTTGGCACTTTGTATAGACAAATTAAGGGGTAAGGTTGGCTAGCCCTAAAACTTGTTTAAACCTGAAATCTTGGTTCATAAGGCCGGGATTTTGTTTTTTAACTGTCCCTAATATTTCCTATCTTGAATAGTTATACTTTTCTATAGATCTGTATATATATATATATATATATATATATATATTTCTTATGGAGAGTCAAAGTTACGTATTTATTTCAAACCGCCTCAAACTACGTTAATTTTAAGTAAACAAGTAAAGTGTTTTACTCCATTTGTAACCGTGATTTATAGCACGGTTATGAAAAATCACGTTAAAGGGGGAAAAAATGGCTGCGAAATTTTGTAAAATTTGTGGTCACAGTACTTAATGATGTTCCGGATGGGAGTCAATTTCCACATTTCCATATAATTTAACCAAGTAAAAAGAAATTGTTTAAAATTTTTCCTAGAACTGATATGCACCTCCCCCAGTTTTACCCCTACCCGCTAGACGTTGAGTTCCGTCACATACCTTTGTATAATGGGCTGAAAATTCTCCTAAAGAATTCTCTCTTAAAAGACAGCAATGGCACGGTAGTTATAAGATTTATATTAAATAGGCTGGGCTAAATTCTATGATTAACAGTTCCCAAACTGATGTAAAACGGTGCTATAGTTTGATATCACGGGGCACGTGCCAAGTTGTTGTTTATGTTCGCCAAGATGGGCGCTTACATTACAATATGGATACCTTGATATTTTTATCGTCTGACGATGTGGTTGCCATGGGGATAACGTATATTAGAAATAACTTTTATTTGTTTTTTCTGGTGGTAACCCTATATTAGTTAATAATTTTAATTTGATTTCTTTAAAAATATAACTATTTTCAGTGCAATTGCTCTATTATTTCAGTCTTCTGTTTTATTTTGTGGTATTTTCGAATACGGATATTTCTAATATGATGGGTGAGTACTAGGATATTTTTTTTTAAATAATGAGTGTTATTCTCTTAATTATTGCTATAAATAATCCATTTTTACTTAATTTTACTTTTTAAAAATGCTTTTTTAAACGTTCCTTGTTCCATGAAATTCGTTGAAGGAACTTGCAGTTTTTGGAATATTGCAAGTTTTCGGTATTTTTAAAGGATTTTCAGTATTAATTTTGATATATATTTGTTATTATTTTATTAATAATATAATATAAAAATATAATTATTATTATATGTAATAATCATATAATATTGATTATTTATAGTTTATTTTGTTATTTATTTATAATTATTACGTAATCTGAGTATTCTTATGCGTTACTTTTTTTACAATACGTTGGTTATTCTTTCTTATAATTAATATTAAATTATATTATACGATTATTATATACTGCATG